ACACATCATCACTGTTAAACACACACACACACACACACACACACACACACAAAAATCCCCTCTCTTAGGCTGAACATTTGAAGACAGAGAACCCGACTCAGAGCCAATGCAACAGTGACAGTAGCCTGGAGGTGACCTCGCCCAACTCATCAGGACCAATCAGAAGATCAGAACTACTAGATTGAACCTACTTCATTTATTGCATAAAATGTCTGCACACAATGTTTCGGGGCTCTCTTCAGATAATAATAATAATAATATGCCATTTAGCAGACGCTTTTATCCAAAGCGACTTACAGTCATGCGTGCATACATTTTTGTGTATGGGTGGTCCCGGGGATCGAACCCACTACCTTGGCGTTACAAGCACCATGCTCTACCAGCTGAGCTACAGAAAGTGGATACTCATGGATGCGCATTGCAATTGTAAAATGTCAACACAATTGGAGACACCACGTCATTTTTGGAGACATGTTATTGACAGTAAACTATTGTAGATGCGACTGCTAACTAAATAAAACATTTTAGCTGGCTAGCTAATCATCTTAGCTAAATGTGGGGCAAACAATTCAGTTATTTACCGTTAATTTGAGGGATTGGGGTGAAAGAAATCGAGTTACATAGTGATACTTTACGATATACTGTATTGACAATATCGCAATATTTTAGCGCTAGTTGGCTGTACCTGCACCAAAACACCATTATTGTTCCTTCATAGCTTGTTCTCAATCTTTTCACATTGGGAGCCAATTTGTTTTCAGCACTTTTATTTCCATGACTGATCAAAACTCGTTCTCATGGCTTTCTGATCCCTCTGCAACAGACATATGGTGCGCAATAAAATCACAGTATCGAATCGCAATACGTATAGAATCATGAGACTCGCAATGCTGATGCATATATCTTATCGTGAGGTTCCTGGCAATTCCCAGCCCAAGTTCATTTGCCACAACAAATCTCTTCGCTAGCAAACGCGATGTCTTCTCCAAAACGGCAATGTGTCTCCAGCAATGTTTACTTTTTTGACGTTCTATGGCATCTCCACTTTCCAAGCATATATGACCACATGTAATATTTTGGTAAGTGATGCAAATAGTGAACTATGTAGGGCCAGGATGTAAAATATATGTAGCTGCAGCAATTTCTCTTATCTGATATGGTAAGTAATAGGGCTTAATTTATAGCTCCCTAAGAGTTTGACGAACGGGTCCGTGAACGCGATTCCAGATATATTTACCTCTGAATAAACTGCCTTTATTACACCATATCCACCCTGTCCAAAGTCTCTACTTGGTCTCAGTTGGTTCTCCAGTAAACTTGTGATTATCAACACTAACCTCATCGTTGTGGCGGCGGACAGCTAGCCTGTATCCCTCGTCATCCAGTTGAGTGAGTGGCAATGTCTTTTTTCGTTCGTACCAATTTTTGGAAAATCCTCGGGTGTAGGACTTTCCGCCTTTAGTAGAAACCTGTTGAATTATTAAATTTGGTCTGGGAGGTCCTAATTGTTTCGTTGCCAATTTATCTTCATTTGTTCGCCGACAAAAAGGAACTTCTTTCAAACAATCCACTCTTTTCTCAGTTACGTTCATGGTTACGTAACGTATGACGAAAGCGCGTAAGTGCAAGCCCACAGACACCCATTGAGATTGTATTGAAGGCTCTGAAATTTGAAAAAAATAGATTTTACATGGGAGTCTATGACAGACTTCTGGGCGATTTTCAACCTGACTGAAATCGCCCCAAAAGGGGGGGGAGCCATTTGAAGCACGACTTTAGCCTGATTCGACATTTAGTGGCAGTGTGGCACTGTGGCAGATCAGACGTATAGATTACAACACTGATAACTACTGTTGCCGTGATATAATTGATTAGAAAAAAAATCCCTTCCTTTTCCCGTTTGGCAGTGCGTCGCCCATATCGCCCTATTGAACAGGCCGCCCCTGGTAAGGATGGTAGTGTGTTGACCATGAGGATAGTGATGTGTGGTGTATGGAGAGTAAAGGCGTCAGCATACATAGGTTCGGTTTGCTCCTAGCAGAACTCGGCTAGGCGAAGCGATCGTCATACTCCCTAAAGACGTTCGCTTGAAAAAACTGGGGAAAAAAGCAACAATATTACTGTTGTTTGTCCCTCTTGAGCCACCGTAACAGCAACGTAGCCAAAAACATTTCCTCAAAATAGTCAGAAATAATCTAAGATAAATCAAGAAATCTGTCATTAATTTTGTTTTTGCAAAGGAGGTCTTGGTCGCACAATTTTACATCTAGCTAAGATGTTTGGTGCATTATTTCTCAAGTGAATTTTTTTTTTAACAACAAACAATTCATGTTCCCACTCCTACTAGGAGTAGTACTGGGGCGTATTCAAACACGTTTCTTAAACGGAATGAAACGGGGATGGACCTACCTGAGTTTTCCAATAGAAACTCTCGTTTGGACTAATAATTACACCCCTGTTGACCAATCACAGACGAAGGGGCGTAGACTTCGGCTACCAAACTTCGACTTGCCTCAAGAAAAAATTTGCACAAACAGCCGAATAAAACCTTGCCGAAGACCAAAATGAACACCAAAAAATTTGCATAATATACAGTGCAATCGGAAAGTATTCAGACACCTTGACTTTATCCACATTTTGTTACGTTACAGCATTATTCTAAAATGGATTAAATCGTTTTTTTCCCTCATTAATCTACACACAATACTCCATAATGACAAAGAAAAAACAGGTTTAGAAATGTTTGCAAATTTATATAAAAAAAAGAAAAGAAATATCACATTTATATAAGTATTCAGACCCTTTACTCAGTACTTTGTTGAAGCACCTTTGGCAATGATTACAGCCTCGATTCTTCTTGGGTATGACGCTACAAGCTTGGCACACCTGTATTTGGGGAGTTTCTCCCATTCTTCTCTGCAAATCCTCTCAAGCTCTGTCAGGTTGGATGGGGAGCATCGCTGCACAGCTATTTTCAGGTCTCTCCAGAGATGTTCGATCAGGTTTAAGTCTCGATCCTGACTAGTCTCCATGCCGCTGAAAAACATCCCCACAGCATGATGCTGCCACCACCATGCTTCACTGTAGGGATGGTGCCAGCTTTCCTCCAGACGTGATGCTTGGCATTCAGGCCAAGAGTTCAATCTTGGTTTCATCAGACCAGAGAATCTTGTTTCTCATGTTCTGAGAGTCCTTATGGTGCCTTTTGGCAAACTCCAAGCGGGCTGTCATGTGCCTTTTACTGAGGAGTGGCTTCCGTCTGGCCAATCTACCATAAAGGCCTGATTGGTGGAGTGCTGCATAGATGGTTGTTCTTCTGGAAGGTTCTCCCATCTCCACAGAGGAACTCCGGAGGTCTTTCAGAGTAACTATCAGGTTCTTGGTCACCTCCCTGACCAAGGCCCTTCTCCCACCGATTGCTCAGTTTGGCCTGGTGGCCAGCTTTAGGAAGAGTCTTGGCGGTTCCAAACTTCTTCCATTTAAGAATGATGGAGACCAATGTTCTTGGGGACCTTCATTGCTGCAGACATTTTTTGGTACCCTTCCCCAGATCTGTGCCTCGACGCAATCCTGTCTCGGAGCTCTACAGACAATTCCTTCAACCTCATGGCTTGGTTTTTGCTCTAACATGCATTGTCAACTGTGGGACCTTATATAGACAGGTGTGTGCCTTTCCAAATCATGTCCAATCAATTGAATTTACCATAGGTGGACTCCAATCAAGTTGTAGAAACATCTCAATGATGATCAATGGAAACAGGATGCACCTGAGCTCAATTTCAAGTCTCATAGCAAAGGGTCTGAATACTTATGTAAATAAGGTATTTCAGTTGTTTATATATATATATATATACATATACATTTGCAAAAAATAAATAAACTGTTTTCGCTTTGTCATTATGGGGTATTGTGTGTAGATTGATGAGGAAAATGTTTTATTTAATCAATTTTAGAATAAGGCTGTAACGTAAAAAAGGTGGAGAAATGGAAGGGGTCTGAATAATTTCCGAATGCACTGTATATGCGCAAACTGTTTAGACTGGGAAGTGGCAGGTAGCTTAGTGGTTAAAAGCGTTGTGCCAGTAACCGAAAGGTTGCTGGTTCTAATCCCCGAGCCGACTAGGTGAAAAATCTGCCGATGTGCCCTTGAGCAAGGCACTTAACCCTAATTGCTCCTGTAAGTCGCTCTGGATAAGAGTGTCTGAAAAATGACTAAAAATAAAAATGTAAGCATATGGTAAGCTTTAGGATTGTGGTGTGTGGATAGTGGTGTGTAGGGTATGAGGATGAATACTTATAGTGCTACGTAAGCCATGCTAGTGGAGTGTGCTGTTCACACCTATTCTCCTCGGCTCATTGAGTAGTGATTGATGCAGCTCATAACCCAACACGAAATATCTGCGTCTCGCCAGGAGAACATTGATTCACTTCAGCCAGATCATTCCCATCACAATACACAACATCACCCTAACAGGACAGAACTACACCATAACAATCTCTAATTAAACACCTCTAGGAACATCCACATGGATTTAAAGAGATTAACGGAACTGCCCCTCTCCTCCCTCACTCCTCTACCATGACGAAACCCCAGTGGAATGTCTGTCTGCCCAGAGAGGTTGGTTCCATAGAGATTAAAAGAGTGATGGCTGTGGACAGAAGGTCCTATGTGAAACCTTCATCCCTGTCTGGAAGAGAGGGGCCAGACACATCCTGAACCAGGGGTCCTCACTGCTGGGAATCTACACCTGCTCTGACCAGTCACAAGCCTGACAACCACAACTTATAGTGTGATTACCTCAATTGTAGCCTATAAAATAAACGTGCAACAGTAGGAGGAAAATATGGGTGATTTAAAATCCATTGGAACGATGAGCCATGGAGTCCATTATGTTTACCCAGGAAGAGATGCTCAGTTTCGAGTCTTGACATTGCATCAGCTATCAGAATGATAGGCTATGTGTATAAATGCACATAGTCTTTTCTGGCAATAATAAAACATGTCAACTCCACCAGGCCAACTCCCCTGGTTGGGGGCCTATGGGGCTGTCCTCTGGATAACCTTCCCTGTGTCCGAGGAGAATGTGGCAGGCTGTTTAGTGTAAAGACTATATCAGGGGACAACAGCCAATCGGCGACCAGCGTGCCTTCTTTTCATCAACACAGTTCTTGCATCACAACCAATCACATCTCCGAGTCCCTGTCTGACACGAGCGGTGCCGGCACTGGGAAGTCCAAACATCTGATCATATCCACCCGGCACAGCCCACAGAGGTGAGGGGAGAAATCACTAGCACATGGGCCCTAACACACACACACACTGCTGTGTTTTGGAGAAATGGCATACTCCACACTCCTGACCCCTGACGCACAGAGCGGATTGCTCCTAAAGAATATAAATAAATCCGCGGGGGAAACATGAGATGGTATCAGGAGAGGTCCAGACCTTTTGTGGAGTAGTGGGAGAGAAAGGAAAGAGCCATACAGGAATCAAGACAAAGGGTACAAATACAGTGCGTGCGTGAACTATGTGTGTACACTTTATACAGTAATGTTAAAAGGAAATTGTATGTGTGATTGATTTTGAACCTAGTGTGTGTAGGGGCATGTGTGTACCTGGCCCTATTCTGCACAGTTGGCTCTTTGTGTATCCCTCTAAACTTCAGGAGGCACCACCACTCAGCGTGCTCCAACTTTATGTCAACGCGTTTCTGACAACATTTACATAACGTTTACATAAAACTATAAATATACAGGTGTATTTACCTGCTGAGACAGGAGAACAGCCTTTTCCCATGTATGCTGTGAGAGCTTGCTCTGTGAAAACGGTCTTGGACACATCGGAGCAGTGATTTGTATGTTTTTTTAAGGTTCAGGTTTCAGGTTGACACGTTGGAACCACTGGCCATGTTACTGTCTGCAAGGTCAGCTAGCGTTTCAGACTTTTACTTAGCGGTTAACAAACTGTTTTCATTTCTCCTTGAACACACTTTTCTCCCCTGTCATTCCACAGTGGGTCGTAATTAGTAATTATTTGCACTCCAACTTTCCCACCTAACGGACCTGTTTTACCAGGATGCTCTGCTCTCTCTGCAGTGAGTGTTGCTGCTGAAGCGTCGTGGTGACACTGTGCTAAAACGTTTAAATGAATCACCCTTGGAGCAGCAGTTTTCCCCAGCCTGACCTGGCTGGCTTCTCCCTTCCTGGTCTTAATGCTGTGGTATTAGCTCAGTTGAGACTGATTTACAGACTCTTCACAGCACAGTATATTAAAGCAGCGCAGCCTGCCAATTTGCAGGGGTGTTGCAGGTGTCACTGGGAGAGTGTGAGATGAGCTGGACCAGTTCAATGGCCCCATTATGAACCTAACACATGCAGAGAAGCACAAATATACTGCTGAAAAACTCTCTCTCTCTCTACAACTCAAACGCACCTGTTCTGTTCACTAACACCCAAACACAGAGGTTCACACGGCACGCTAACCGCTGCATACTGCTGCATAAGAGACTGTGAGAAACTGAAATAAGGCTCTTCTCACCTACTAAAGCACAGGATAAGACACGTTATGTACTTGTATATACAGATAATCTTTCCACAAGTACACTGTTCGGCATATACACACACAGGCACGCTCGTACACACACACACACACACACACACACACACACACACACACACACACACACACACACACACACACACACACACACACACGCACACAAACAGATGGAGCAAATAAAGTTACAGCTGGAGTGTTAATATTGTTTAGTCAGCTGTCATTTAGCAAAGAACGATAATCAACCATTTTGTTTGAGGAGGAACTCTGTAAACATGTCTCAGACTTCCATGTTGCTTTTACAGTATTCCCAAAATATTTACAGTTAGCTTTGGCCGGAAGCATTGAATGGGACTGTGCTGAGCTGTACTGTGCAGTGAGGTTTCAAGACACTAGATTTGGCTAAACAAAACCGAATACACAGAGGTTATATAAACATGTTTGCTCTTCCTCTTGACCAGTACATGTCTATACAGTCAAAGACAGACAGAGAGAGAGTGCAGAATAGTGATAAAGGTAAGGAGAGAAACAGAGAGGAAGGAGAGGTATGCTTTTGAACTGCTTTATTGTTATATCCACTGTCGATCACAGTCAAGGACTTTTGTCCTCCATAGGCTGGAGAGAGCTGGAGTTTCAGAGTAAAGGGAAGGATGGATGGAGCAGATAACCTTGCTGCTCTGAGACTATAAAGTATGCAGCTTCTACATGTTGGGTATCTCATGGTAAACATCCCACTCTGCTGTCCTGTAGTCTGTGTGAGGAGGGTCAAATATTAACAGCGGGTCATCAGCCACCGGACCACAGAGTCTGTGAATCATATCAATCATGGTAGATCACACATCACCTCTCCAGCCCTGGTGTCACAATGTAGGACCAGCAAGGCCACACACTGACACACTGCTTAACATCCCCAACATTAACTACCAAATATCCCATATTTCTCCCCTGAGTGTGACATTTTTGTGGGGGGAAAAAATGTTAAATGCAGCAAAAATATTCATAGAACACATGTATCATGTTATGTATCTAATGTATTTCTCTTCATTTTCTCAGCCTGGTTTCCCCTATAATTTTCCTGCACTTGGCGTCTCATTCTCTCTCTCCCTTCCTCTCCCCTCTCCATTTCAATCTCTCTTTCTCTCTCTCCCCACCCCGTCTCTCTCTTCTGTCTCTCTCTCTCTTCTGTCTCCCTCTCTCTTCTGTCTCCCTCTCTCTTCTGTCCTCTATATTATAGTTTCCCTTCAAAGAAGTCTCAGCAGCATTTCCCTCTCCTTCATTAATCTCAGCTAGGTTAGTCTTAAGTATTGAGCTCCATAATGTGACCTGACAGTCGATTGGACGATCATTAGCCATTAGAAAGTTACTACCGTTTAGACCTTATTACATTGATTTCCCATTGAAGTCTGATACCCTGAATCACAAATCTGCTAAGACCAATTTAATGTCACGATAACCAGGTGGCTGGGCGCCCGCAGAATAGGTTAATGTCAAAAACAGAGGGCATTTCATCATGACCATGTAAGGTTTTCTCCTATTGTTAATTCATAGCCATAATAAATCTCCCTTTTAGTCAGTGCAGAGTTTTTATAGCTTCAACTCAAAGTAATCTGTGATGAATATAGCCCCATGTAGCTCAGTTGGTAGAGCATGGAGCTTGCAACGCCAGGGTTGTGGGTTCGATTTCCATGGGGGGCCAGTATGAAAAATGTATGCACTCACTAACTGTAAGTCGCTCTGGATAAGAGCGTCTGCTAAATGACTAAAAATGAATAGGTTAATTCATACTGTCTAGTTGTAGCATACAGTCACATGCGTTTGTTACTTGGCATTTATGTTATTAAATGTGGCAACACATTGAAAATAACCTACGGATTCAGTCTCATATATTTAGCTAAGACCCAGCGTCTTTACATACAGATGCAGGATCTTAATTTGATCACCTTGTTGCAGGAGAACTTTCCTGAAATGCAGGAAATGTCAAACTTGTAGTGTATTTGAAGTTTAAAAAGGCTTCTGAAATTTGTCATTTCCACTTTGAAATTTCAAACTTGATTTTCCCTTACGAAAAATGTATTAACCCCTACATTTCCTGTTGCTGCAGGATTATTTTCCTGCTGTATCAAACTGGCTCAGATTAAGATCCTACATCTGTGTCACCTACTGCATTCATGAAACATACAAACCCTGCTGTTAACTACACTTCTCACTCAACTTTTAGCAGAATCAAAAATCCCTTATTGTCAAAATCCCCACTAAGCCAAGTTTGTCTCGAACTTGCGTCTGCTTGTTTAGATTGTGTATGATTGGTTTGTGTATGAGGGCCATTACTCCTTCCCTCTCTCTTTCTCTTCCCCCAGTAGGTAGAGCTGACATGTCAGGGCCCTGGGCTGAACCCGGGTTTGATTTGCGAGTTAAAAGAGCAGAGATAATCACAGGGCCTCTGTCTTAAATGACCAAAGCACTTTGTGTTTATGGGCTCATGATGCAAGCCAGAGACACAGAACAAACCGTTTTTAATTTGTCCAGCAAGGTTTTAGTTAAGACTCCACAAAGCAGGGACCTGAGGTGCTGGGGACCGGGGGGGGGGGGGGACAAAGGGAAGTGGGGGAGAGAGGGAGAGAGAAGGGGAGAGAGGGGGGAAAGGGGAATAGCAATGAATCAAGCTGAAAAGTGTTGCCACTAGAGCCTCAAGGTGCCCAAATGGAGCCAATTATAAGTGAAAACACCCATTGCAGACCAGCCCAGTGGGGGGACATTAACGGGCAGGGTGGAGGGGTGATGTTTGCAGACACAAGGAGGGAGGGAGGAGGGAGAGAGACAATTGCTATCTTATAACGCAATTATCCTGTGTTTGTTTTAGCTCTGCTGATAGCTCTACAGGCAGTTTAGGGTACTCAGCAGGATTAGAAAATATTGTATCACATAATTTTACTCACTGTGACAAACTAAGCAGATTGCCAAACAGACAGTATAACATTTCTCCCAAAGCACAGTTCCAACGCGTGGCATTTCTTGGTCATTCCCTCTTTAACACACTTTAAATAGCTCATTACTAGGGTCAGTCGAGCACACTTGAGTTGGGATTTCCTGAAGTATTTCAGATCCACACATTGATAAACTCAAGCCAACATCTGTGCTTGTAATTAGAAATAATATGTCTAATGTTTGGCAACTGTAGTGTAGTGGGCTTTAAGGAAAGAGAAGCAGGGACTGGGGTGGGCCCAGGTTGCACAGAACCAAACCTGAGGGATCAGACTTTCCTCTCATTAGCCAGGAACAGGAGAGGGGAGAGAGACGGAGAGAAAGAGAGCGGGAAGAGGGGGGATAACATGTCAAAAATGGGATTCTAAACTGTTGGCAAACCTGAGGGGTGTGATTCACAGAGCCTCAACCAGACATAACACACTCTGACTGGAGCCGTCAAGACGGTGCTGCCTTACCCTGCTTTTCCATCCACACAGATCCACAGCCTGGTGGTGCTCATCAGAGATACTGTAGACATGCACAGATACAGACAGACAGACGGAGGAAGACGGGAAGGTGAAAAAGCTACAAATGAAATAATATTTTTCTATTCAAAAGACAGGATGGAAAGCTGCATGGGAAATGGGGCTGATTTTGTTTATATCTGAAATATCTGCAGTAAGCTAGGGCATTCCTGAAGATGGGTGGCGATGGATGGATGTAAGGAGAAGATGTTTGTGGAAAAGTTTAATTCTACCACTTCATTACCTGATAGGGCGGCAGGTAGCCTAGCGGTTAGAAAGGCGAGCCAGTAGAGGGTTGCCAGTTCGAATCCAGGGTCCTACGGGAAGAAACCTGGCAGGAAGTGAGCTGGCAACTGGAGGGTTGCTGGTAACAAATCCTAGATGCCATTGCCTGCTATTGTGACCTTGAGCAAGGCACTTAACCCCCCCACAACAATAGCTCCCTGGGCACCCAGTGTAGCAGCTCCCCGCACCTCTCCAATACCTGTATATGTATGTATGTGTCTTTCAGCGGGATTGGGTTAAAAGCGGAAGTCAAATTTTGTCTGGACCTTGTGTGCAATTGACCAATAAAGTGATGTTAATCTTAATTGAGTCATCCATCATCTTGAAATCAATTCCATGTACATTAGCCTACAGTATACCTAAAACAGGACATGCTAATATCAAGGATTCAGTAAAAAACATAAATTCATGCGTAATATAGTCTATTATTCATGATAAGAAGATATGGGCGGCCAAATCCTGTAAAAACATGAATTCACCTTATACACATAACCATGGTAGTATTTGTGCTTGTTGCCAAAAATAATTCACAATCCTTCTTAAATAAAAATGTGATGTATCACCCCTTTCCTCTCTGGGGCGAACGTCTGTTATTTTACGAACTAATTCATGAGTAGCTGGTTTATTCCCTATACCATTTCCTAGCCTCACATTAATGACAGATATCCTTCATGTAAATTACAGGAAACAGGTCAGCTGATATCCTTCATTTACATGACAGGAAACAGCACAACTGATATCCTTAATTTACATGACAGGAAACAGGACAACTGATATCCTTAATTTACATGACAGGAAACAGGACCCCTGATATCCTTCATTTAAATGACAGGAAACAGGTCAACTGATATACTTCATTTAAATGACAGGAAACAGGACAAATGACATCCTTCATTTAAATGGCAGGAAACAGGACAACTGATATCCTTAATTTACATGACAGGAAACAGGACCCCTGATATCCTTCATTTAAATGACAGGAAACAGGTCAACCGATATCCTTCATTTAAATGACAGGAGACAGGACAACTGATATACTTCATTTAAATGACAGGAAACAGGACAACTGACATCCTTCATTTAAATGACAGGAAACAAGACAACTGATATCCTTCATTTAAATGACAGGAAACAGGTCATTCACCAGTTTATCTGACCAGTTAAATATTTTTTATGGATCAAAGCTGCCCATTTGAAACTATTTCCCCTGCAGTCCCTGGGCTCCTACTGCAGATTCCTGTCATATCTGAAAACCTTAGCAGATATACCTGGCCAGTGGGCCTTACACTGTGAAGGTTGAAGGCAGATAATGTATCTTTGTCTTAAACTACGAGTGGACAGAGAGCAGACAAGCTACTGTGGCTGCCTGGCTGACTGTTTTTCTCCTTGGAAGTCTTGATTTACAAAGTATTTCTGAAGGTCACCCTAATGGAAAATAAAAAATGATTACTGAAGTTTATGGATGCGCTCAAGTTGTTTCAGCACACATATTTACTGGACGGGCAGGAATTGCTACTTTTCTGATGAAAGTCAGATGGAACCCTTGAGCATATAAGGATGGACAGCCATGTCACACACACAGACTACAGTACATCTATACCGTACATTAAAGTGCATATATACACACACACAGAGAGAGAGAGAAGCAGAAGACAGACATCATAAATCATAAGTCTGTTACATTTTACCCACATGCTATACCTGAAACAAATACATTATAAATAAAAATGTCTTATATCATTGCCATGCTATGCAAACATATTGCAAGTCTGCTCCATAAATCAGTACACAAAATGTGGAGAAATATTATAACACAGAGAGAAAACAAACAGAGCCTTTTAGCTGTTCAGGCAAATATGGATTCGCTGTGCTTCTTTAAAGGGGAAATTTACGGATGTGTGCTGTTTCCTCTAGAGAACGCTGCTAATTCCCCTAAGGAGGAAAATATACTGTCTGGGAGAGGCGTAAAGAATTGGCTCCAGATTCACCGGGAGCACGGCCCCGACTTAGACGTACTCCACTTTATTTATTAAAGAAAGAAAAAGTTGTTACAGGACTGTTTCTCTTGAACGCAGCCCAAGTGTATCCAGTTCTGCGGTCACAGGAAGAAAATGTATTTCTCAGTCCACTGCATACTAACACAGCTGACAACACTAAGTCCCCCTCTCAATCACTCTTTCTTTCTCCTCTCCCTCCCCTCCCCTCTCTCTTTACGTCTCTCTCTCTACTTCTCTCTCCTGTTCTCTGTCCCTCACACACACTCTGTCTCTCTTTTACAAGGGCTTTCAACTGCTCCCTCTCTCTTTTGTGGGGAACAGTTTGTACTGTTCAGGCTGCTGGTATGGATATGGTCAAGTACTGTACAGTACTCAGTAGATACAGTATATGCCGGTTACAGTATGCAGGTTACAGTATGCAGGTCACAGTATGCAGGTTACCAACGTTTTTGGTAAATGGTGGAAACTTCTTTATATGAGTTTGTCCCCCCACCCCCCTCCCACACACACACATCCCTTTTCCCTGTCAACATTTCCAGAGGGACGTAATACCTCCAGTACAGTACAGGTTAGTGCAAGGTGAGCATTAAGGGAACAGGAGGTTCTTCCCAGCTAATATCGGCAGCAGGATATGGTAAGAGCTCAACAGATGGCCTGGGCTAGTCACAGACAGACAGACAGACAGGACTATTAGAGCACAGTGTCTGGGGCTGGGCCTGACAATGACAGACAGACAGACAGACAGACAGACAGACAGACAGACAGACAGACAGACAGACAGACAGACAGACAGACAGACAGACAGACAGACAGACAGACAGACAGACAGGCAGGCAGGCAGGCAGGCAGGCAGACAGGCAGGCAGGCAGGCAGGCAGGCAGGCAGGCAGGACTATTAGAGCACAGTGTTTGGGGCTGGGCCTGACAATGACAGACAGACAGACAGACAGACAGACAGACAGACAGACAGACAGACAGACAGACAGACAGACAGACAGACAGACAGACAGACAGACAGACAGACAGACAGACAGACAGACAGGCAGACAGACAGACAGGCAGACAGACAGACAGACAGACAGACAGACAGACAGACGGACGGACAGACAGACAGGACTATTAGAGCACAGTGTTTGGGGCTGGGCCTGACAATGACAGACAGACAGACAGACAGACAGACAGACAGACAGACAGACAGACAGACAGACAGACAGACAGACAGACAGACAGACAGACAGACAGACAGACAGACAGACAGACAGACAGACAGACAGACAGACAGACAGACAGACAGACAGACAGACAGACAGGACTATTAGAGCACAGTGCTGGGGTCAGAGCTCCACATTACTGACAGACTGCCACCATACTGGACAGACTCTCCTTCCTACTGCTGCTGGCAGCATACGGTGAGACACCTGCCTCGGAGCACTAAGGACAGCACAATGCTAATACAAACATATCATCATGACTTCTGGCATGGCAATTTAAGACTGGTTGTGTCACTGGAGGACAAATGAGCTCACACGGTCACAAAAACATCTGTGTGCAAATCTATTATGCTACTAAGCGTGCACAGTATGTTTCCAGCATATGGGTGTGGTACTCCCACCTACGAGCCCAACACCAACAGGATTGTGAATGGAGAGGATGCCCGCACACATAGCTGGCCATAACTGATTACTTCCCTGTATAAGTCCATTGAACCATACATTCATATTTTTTTTATTTTTCCTTTATTTAACTAGGCAAGTCATTTAAGAACAAATTCTTATTTACAATGACGGCTTACACCGGCCAAACCCGGACGACGCTGGGCCAATTGTGCACCACCCTATGGGACTCCCAATCACAGCCAATTGTGATACAGCCTGGAATCGAACCAGGGGGTCTGTAGTGACGCCTCAAGCACTGAGATGCAGTGCCTTAGACCACTGCGCCACTCATGTTGGTCATGAACTGTTTTTATTGTCTGTGTATCTGCATCCTCAGATTTCAACGCCAATGAAGCATGGCAGCCGTTGGCATCACACCTGTGGGGGCACTCTGATTGGCTCTTGCTGGGTCCTGACTGCTAGACACTGCATATGGTGAGAACCACTGCCAGTATGGGGTCCAGAGTGTGAGGTATTACTAGAGAATGTGAGTAGGAAGAGGTCCTTGAGGTCACGAATGTGAAGCAGAATATTGGGAAAGTATAGCGTACTGTGAGTCTGAGTATGCAGATACAGTATCATTCAAGGTAACTTGATGTTTCTCTGTGATGTTTGGTATATCCTCCCCATGCATGCCTGGAGATGTGTACCGTGTGGTGATGGGAGAACATGACCAGAGCGTACAGGAGGGAATTGAGCAGATCAGAGACGTGCTGCGCATCCTGGTTCACCCTGACTGGGACATTGACATGGTCACCGCTGGTGAGTATCCATCTGATAGACCTAAAATATGCCAAAGACACAGCAACAAACCTTGTACAAAATATGTGGAATTTGTACCTGTGAAACAACGTCAGATCTTCAAAGTTATATGTCCACTATCAGAAAAAAAACAAGGTTGTGCAGCACCTCCTACTGGAAAGTGTATCTATCTACAGCTATTCATTTGGTCTCCCATCCAGGGTTTTAACCAAGCCCAGCTTTAATATTTGCCACTGACTACTACCAATGTGCTATTTTGAGAATGATTATTGAGAGATCTCTTAAAGGGAAACTTCACAAATTTTCTTCTTCATATTCATAATCTCCAGCACCACCCCAACATGTGTGAAAATGGCACGTTTCTATGTTTAATAGTAAAAAAGATAGAGAAAGATAAGTGTTTCCACTGATATTATCAACCAATTAGTAGACAATTAGTAGGCAATGCCTACTCACAATTGGTCAAAATCACACGATGCACACCGATGATGTCATTGGAAACACTTTTCTTCCTCTATATTTTTTACTACAAAACATAGAAACACACCATTTTCACATATGTTGATGTTGGGATGTTGCTGGAGATGATGACTATGAAGTTCAAAAATGTTGAAGTTTCCCCTTTAATAACTAAATAGATTCACTGTTGCTATTGAAGTCATTACCAAGTGGTTTAACAGAGCAAATCAAATGTAACCATACTTTATAAGTCATATATCATCAATGATACTATTTAGGCCTATAGCATTTGCAAAGTCATCAACAGCTATTGTTTCAAATTCAACCCAGGGTTCAACTAAAAATAGACAATACATATAGGCCATCTCAACCAAAAATCAAAGTTAAAGAATAGGAGTAATTCAAATCAAATTTTATTTAAAGTGCATTTAAAGTTAGATTAGATTTAGTCCTATTCATTAATTTAGATTTTTGTTTGAGATGGAGATGTGAATTTAACATGTAAATTATTAATTTGTAGACCAACTGAATATTGAATTGTGTTTGGTTGCCAACGCAACCAAATATCAACATTTGAAGGAGAAGTATCTTCTGCTTAGAATAGTTCCATCTGTGCCACTGACTTAGTGTTTGTCTACAAATTAATAATTGATATGTTGGATACACGTCTCCATCTCAAACAAAAAGTTAAAGAATAGGACTAAATCAAATCAAACTTTAAATGCACTTTAAATCAAGTTTGATTTGATTTAGTCCTATTCTTTAACTTTGATTATTGGTTGAGATGAAGACGTGAATCCAACATATCAATTATTAATTTGTAGACAAATTGAAATTAAAGCCAGACTAAGTCAGTGGCACAAAATCTCCTTAAAATGTTGATGTTTGGTTGGTTGACAACCAAACACAATTAAATATCACTTGAATAGCCTATTAACTTGTCGACAAGATAACAAATGGTGTGTTGGATTCACGTCTCCAACTAAACCAAAAATAAAAGTTAAAGAATAGGATTAAGCCAGTGACTCAGATTAAACTATCCAAGCATTAGATATCCTTTCAATGTTGATATTTGGTTGAATTGTCAACCAAACACAATTCAAGAATAATTTTGTAATACAGTAAATAGCCTAAACTAATGTAACAGTATTTATTCAACGTTAATTATGAGTAACACATCCATGGCAACATTTTGAGGTTAGCCTACTGTCACTATAAATGTCTTCTTATGTAATCATAGAAAGCATGCCTGTTCAAGATAGCATGAAAAGGTCGCAGGTCTGTGGAGATCTTCATAATTGCTATAATAATCTGTGCAGAATCTTGAACAGCAGTCATTACACTATGTACTTTTAATCTAATCTCAACTGCAATCCAGGTCATTTGGTTGTGCTATTAGATGAAGCACAGTGATAACACATTAAATTGTTGTAGAAATACAACATATCTGACATTGTATTCCCATTTGAACTTGGTTGTGCTTTTAAATGGTTGAAAGCGCAGTGATAACACTAAACCAAAAATCTAAACCAAACTAAACCAAAAATCAGACATTGTTGGAATTTGGTTGTGCTTTTTGAAAGCATAGTGATACCACATTGGGAATTCAACAAACTTCTGTCTCTCTTTTTGAGTGGGTGAATAAAGGTTGAAATCTCATTCTCATTGATCAATGTCTTAACCAAATATTACCCAGTGTGATGGCATTTGCAATGCAAGGATTGTGGGTTTGATTCCTGCTGGGGCCACCCATATGAAAAATATGTATGCACTACTGTAAGTTACTTTGGATAAAAGTGTCTGCTAAATGGCATATATTATTTGTGTGGCTATGTGGAGTCTGTGGGCTTGTGGCATGTGAAGTTTCATTTCAGGCTCACTAATTGCCCCTGTTGATGTTAAGCCACTCAACAGTTTTAAAGGGATGGTGCAAGATTTTAGCAACTAAGCCCTTTTTCTACTTACCCAGAGTCAGATTAATGGATTCAAATTGTATGTCTCTGCGTGCAGTTTGAAGAATTCTAGCTGTACCTGTAGACTTCCAGTCATTGCGCTGACGTTAGTTAGCAATGGCTCATAAAGCTTGTTTTGTAATATTTGTAAACAATGTAAATGCAAACACTGTATATCCTAAAAACTTTAATTTCGATATCATGGATGGTCCTTGCATCCATAGCTCTGTCTATGAATTTCAGAGTGGTTACATTTCTCCAGGCACATCCCTCAGCTTTTTACGAAAACAGAGGCAGGGTGTCCACTTTGTTATTATTTCAATTACGGATTCTAGCTTTAAGATGTATGGAGTGTAGACATACACAATATAAGTCTGTTAGTGAATATGATATGTAGACATACTGTATAGTAGCTAATCCTGTTACGTAGTGTTTATGTACCAGTGTATAGTGTGTAACTGTACCCTCCGTGTTCTGTTCCAGCCCATGGTCCCATGACTGATAAGCTCAGGCCCTGCTACTCTTGGTGGGGAACAGTGTGTGTGTAGCCAGAGTGACTGGTGGGGCATGGTGGTGAAGAACACCATGATCTGTGCTAGATGGGGTGAATTGTCAGGATGAGTGAGTGAGGCAACAAAATATCTTGAGATCATATTCTTATGAATATACAGTATCACATTCACCATAACCTGTATGTCATAACTAATGTTCATAAAACAAGTTCTCTCTCTCTCTCTCTCTCTCTCTCTCTCTCTCTCTCTCTCTCCCCCTCCTCCCTCATTTTCTCCCTCTCTCTCTCTCTCTCTCTCTCTCTCTCTCTCTCTCGTCTCTCTCTCTCCCCCTCCTCCCTCATTTTCTCCCTCTCTTTCAGGGGGACTCTGGGGGTCCTCTGAACTGTAAGGGTACTGATGGTAAGTGGTACGTCCACGGCATGACCAGCTTCCGTGTCCTCTAGTGTCTGCAACGAGGTGAAGAAACCAACCGTCTTCACCCACATCTCAGGAGGTATAGCAAACTTTAGTGCCTACATCTGTGGTGAGGAGCATTGTGGAGGGGGAAAAGATCATGTGAACCTGGTGGTCACATGATGGGGATATTGCTGCATTAGGCTTTCAGATATCAAGTAGGCCTAGTATAAATTGTTTAGTGTAGTCTATCAGGAAACCTTACGATATAAATCATTCATCAGTAGGTTTATTGGAGATCAGCACATATTCACATTCCATGAACATTTACAATCACATGCTTTTAATGTGAATGTTTAAAGAAACCGTACCTGTCAGCGTTACCTTTGTCTGAGTGAGTTCTGTCAGCGTTTTTCTTGGTCCATGGCTTCATTCCTCATCTCCTGCGTGATTTGAGATAAACGAGTGGCCGTCCATACGGAGCACCTTGGGGGGAGCGTTGCTGATCAATCACTGCCGAGGCCTGAGAAGTGTCAGCGTCGGTGACCCTGCCGTGGATCGGGCGGGAAGAGAGCAGAGTCAGGAGTATGGGAGGGGGGCAGTGGAGAAATTGGTGGTGATGGCTAACCTTGACTTTAAATCGCTACCACTCGCCACTGGTTGGATCAAACAAGGGAAGATGTGGAAAATATAGACCCCCCCCAGGCCCCTCCCCTACTGTTCATTTTTTTCTCTGCCATTATATTAGATTGTTCTAAAACGTTGCTGTGCAGGCCTATATAAAAAGTGTGAAACGATTACCGTCAAAAGGCCTTCTGTTTTCCAGTCAGCAGTTTTCTACTCAGGCAGAACCCTGTGATCAGGACCGAGTGTTCACCGCAGTGTGGTGATGTCACTTTAAATAAACCTTTTCCCCCTGTGTAACCTGCAGTG